ATTCTTATTTTCTCATTTTGAATCTTTTTCATTCACAAAGTTTCATCATTTGAGCGCGTCTGCTCAAATTTCACTTTTCCAGACCCGGCGGGGCCCATTCGGAGCACTTTTTGAGATTTCTATAAATAGGGGGACTTAAAATAAAAAAAAATCATCTTCTCCCCTCTCCATGCACGACCACAACCTTCTATGGCAGCCCAAGGGGGCTACCACCCTTCTTCTTTCATTTGAACCTTCTTCCTTTTATTAAAAAGTCAAAGTGCCTTCGTGTTTTGTGTTTGTCTTGACCACGCGCATCTTTCCCCCTTATTAGAACCCCGTTTTTGGCCAAATTTTGAGTTCGGATTTGAAGTCAAGTTGTGATTTTGATGGGGCTTCTTTGAAGTTCATGTAGATCGTGTTGTCCCCGACAAAACCTCGTGGTATCGTCGGATTCAAAGCACTTTTTTTCGGTGGGCTTTTGAGATTTTCATCTCAAATCGAGGTAGGGGATGTTTTAGGATTATATTATTGTTGTATTGATTGTTTTATAAGCATATACAACTTATGAGCATGCCTTGTTCAAGTTTTTAGAATTTAATTTAATTATTTTCTTTGTTTAAGATTTAATTCTCATGATGCTAGCCAACTTAGAATTAAATTATGGCATGCTAGAAATTTAGGCCTTGGTATAGTGGTTGATATATATTAAATTGAGGTTATTTGAATAAGAATTGCAAATTTTATTTAATATTTATCTTTTGTGAAAGTTTAATTCACCTAGTTGTATCAAGTATGGAATCAACTTGTAATGTGATATTAAAGTAGGCCTTGGTGAGTTCTTTAACATATATTAAATTGAGGATATTTAGATATGTTTGAAAATCTAGAGAAAAATTAATTAATGAGCTTAATTAATTTTATTTTAAGTGTGTTGGTCACTTAAATTGATATTGGAGGTAATAGGTTGATAATCCCTTGAAATGCGGTCTGTTTAATCACCTTGTGAGCATGTTACTAATTTGATGTAGAATTAGTACTTGAGACATCTTGAAATGGTAATTGGACTTAGTATGATATAGAATATCATTGACTTGCATAGCTTGTTTAGATATATCTTATGTAGGTGTATAGCTTGTTAGAATATTACAATTGTTTACCTTGGAAGCTAGTTACTAAATTGGGACTTATTTAGTACTTGTGGCTTAGTGTGGTAATATGGTTCAATTGTTGTAAAATATTATTATTTTGGTGTATAAATTGCATATTGGAGACTTAACATGTCATATGTTATCTAGACTTGAATTCTAGGACATGGTTTGTGTGGATTCAACCTTATTTGTGCATGGAAGATGGCTTTATGCATTAGTGGATTTGGTATAAGTTTGGTCTAACTTATTGATTTTTGTATAAGTTTTGGACTTATTGATTTTGGAAAGCTTGTAAGGACATATTTCACGTGATGGCTAGGGTTTGGCTCTAGTACGGAGACAAGAGTCTTCTAAGTCATAAGTGCGTACTAGGTAGTACCTTGTGGGTCATAATTGCCCGAAATAACTTATGCATGTGCGCACTAGGTAGTGCCTTGTGGGTCGTAATTACCCGGAAACACTTGCTTGATCTAGTGACCACATGTCCTAGTCTTTCTACTTTGATTTCACATTCAATTTCAAGTTGTTAATCATAGATTACTTGTAACTTGAGAATTAATGCTTGCTTTGGATATTTGAATCTTACTTAGTATACTTGAAACTATATACTTGTTTTGTGCATTTAGATCTATTGTCATCGCTGCAAGATACCTGCACTTGAAAAGAAAAAGAAAAATATGAGATATCATAAAGTCCGAAGACTATAAATCAAAATAACTAATTGTAAACTCAACAAAACCGTTACATAGTTCCCGGCAACGGTGCCAAAAATTGATATATGGTTGACAGCGTCAATAATAAAATACCACTCGCAATAGAATGAATATTTTTTAGGATAGGCTACTTAGAGGGGGTCAAACCTTAGGGACTATAGTGGATTATCAAACCTTCAATTAATACTATTTTAACTTAGAAAGAGATATTGTTTGATGTGTTGTGTTTCAAAACATAAAAAAAAATTAACTAAATAAAGACTGAGATCAGAGAGAGATCTTAGGGATTGACTTCACCACGAACATTATACTATGGTCAAATGTTCTGTGACGGCCCTGGTTTTTCAAGCCAGTGTGTTCTGTGATGAATCAAAGATTGATCCGATAACGGATTCAGATGCGGAAGCAAGAAATAAGACAACGGTCTCCCAAGGCACAACACATCTCTAAGACACTAAGGTGACCATCCATGAGGTCACGAAACCCAAAGAAATAAAGTATGGAAGCAAAAGATCTGAAATATGATAGACAAGCCCCCAGGGGCAAAATAATTATTTTTGCAAATATGGATTCGTGTGCTACCAAGCACATTATTGGAAAGACAAAAAAAGATAATCAAGATGGACTCAAGAATCGCATGATTCGGAGTCCGGACGAAGAAGAAAAGGCAAAACAAAGAAAAACGGACATTTAAAGCTTTAAGGGAAAACTGGTAATTATCCAGCAATATCTGAATACAACCGAGCACTCTGTTGGACAGACGATGAAAAAATAATGGTGTTAAAAAAAATTTTCATCCCATTCGGAGTCCAGACGAGGGAGAAAATCGAGTTTGAAGTCGCAAGGACAAGACAGCGAAGGACCAAGGCAGCAAGGGCTGCGTGCGCGCTGGCTGAAAATGGGAAAAAGCTACAAATGGTTTTTTTTTTTTTTTTTTGAAATTGTCTAGAACGGAGAGCAAAAACGGACCCTTAAACGAATTTTTTTGGAAAAACACAAAAGAGAAACATCCCCCGAAATTGAGTTTTCTACTCGGCTACGTGGAAGAAAACGAGAAAAACACACTGTGAAATGCCTAGAATACCCCTAGATCAGAAAAGGTCAAAATTCAGAAAATGTAACATTGCACCAAGTGTGCATTTGACCCTAAATGCACTTCTAGGCCGAAACGAATATGCACACAAGCATAATAAATGATATTAAGCGCGCAGGAATGGTCCACAGCTTCCGAAAGGACCTGATTCAAAATTCGACCCCCCGACGGTAAAAAATGACTAAAATGAACTAGAAATGGAAAAGTTGAAATCCAAAATTATAAAATGGTTTCAAATTACCATTTGGTCATTGGCCACACCTCATGCATGATTAATGAGACCCTATGGAAGAAAAAAAATGGAATTCCCACACCCGATGCAAACATGGTGAAGTAATGCCTTGTCATTTTTTAATATTTCTATAATATAACTTGAAGTTAAAAATTACATAAGATGCAAAATAATTGTCATTAGCCTCCTGCCTCATCTTATACATGTCGAATACATTACAAAAGGTGTAATTATGTACACATTACATATATTAATTAAGGTTTACAACAACAAAATAAACCAAAATAAGTTATGATATGCTAGCATGTGCATATTCTAGCATAACAAAAAAATACTCTAAGAAGGCAAGCAAGCCTAGGAATTTTGAGTATCCCAAATTAATGTTTCTTTACATGAAAAATAGCCCCAAACTACAGGGTGAGTAATCATGACTACTTATAGGAAATGAATATGCGTATGACTTAAAGGTTTAAAAATTTTGCATGTTGATATAAATCATTACATGTGGACCATGCCACATAGAATCTAAATCAAGATGCTTGTATAGGATCATTCCTAAGTCATGATAGCATAAGGAAACACGAAACAAGATATCCAAAAAATCTAACAAGATTGAAATAATTCAATTAACACGAAAGATTTAAACCTTCAAGGAATACCACTTGAAGTTTAAATGATGAAATCAACTAATGTGGATACTCGGATATCGCTCGGATAAAAACCGTACTCTCAGGATCAGTTTAGGGCTACTAACTCACGGGTACCTTCCCCTAGTGCGCACTATAGTGTAGGGAGCTCTCTATCTCCCATACTAGAACCAAGTTCTAGCCAAGTCAAGTTCTTGATGATATCCCAAGTCTCTAAAATCAACATGTTGTGTAACCAAGAGTGTATCAAGATACAAGTAATGCATTAAACCACATTCCATACACCACAAAGATTTTGGAACACACAAGTTATGCCCTAAGTCCTCAACTATAATGGTATGTGAAATGTCAAGAAATCATAGTATGCATCTACATAAATTACAAACTAATATTTATAACACAAGGAATTCATTGATGTAAATATACCACAAGTATAAGATTAATAATTTAATTATTTGTTTAACAACACTTGAACAATTAAATCATTCAAATGTAAGGGTGCAAGTTCATTAACTACATTAATGAAGCTAAGTTGCAACAAGTCATGATACTTGATAAAAAGGCAAAACCCTCATGAAATAGATGTCCAAATCATTAGAACACTAAGTAGAAATTAATTAACCTAATTAATTAATTTATCTAAAAATCAAAGTTGTCTAAAAATTCTCAAAATAATATATATGAATGTCCATTCCATGGTAATTGCAAATATCACATCAATTTCACAAAATGAGTAAGATATAATCATGTGGAATTTAATTAATATAAAGTAATTAAATTACTCATTTTCAATAGTTGCCTACAAATTCCCAAAATAATGTATAACAAGGATTATGCCAAGATCATCACATATATCAAGTCAAAAGTAAGTTACATGTAAGCTAGAATATATTATTAATTTCTCAACACTACAAGAAAAATGATTATTTACAACAAGGTATTTACAACATGCAAAATTACACCTTGTTAAAAGGAAATTTTACAACATGCTTCCATCTGTGTTGTCAAATTGAAAAGATACAACGTATAGAGCATGTTGTGAAGTAATTTGAAATTTTTTAGAACTAATTTTAATTCAATTTTTCGCGTGCACATGTCTATCGCCCGCGTTTAAGTATTTTGTAATTCCATAACCCACCACGACTCTCTCTCTCATTTCGCTCTCTGCACACGACTCAACAAAAACAAATACGCCACTCAACAGACCCTTTTTCATCAAGCCCTAACTTTCTCTTCATGAACATCTCGGCGTGAAAGGGATTTTTTTTCATCTTCTCTCTCTATCTTCAGCCGGTCACCATAGTCTAAATTGCTAACAACTACCCTTAAGTTTTGAAAGAGAAGGGAGCCCTTAAAATGCTTTCAAAACGAAAATCAAGAGGAACGAATCGTTGCCTGTTACCATTGCGAGGAGGTCAGCTGATTGGCTACTCTTTCAATTGCCCATCGATCAAAGAAAGCCGTAAGCCCTAAATGATAACACACGGCTCAGAAACGAAACCCTAAGCCCAAATATTGTGTTTTGAATTTCTCTCTCAATCAAAAATTACAGGTATGTAAGATTTTCCCTTTCTCGTACATACGACCCAGATTTGATTTTTGTTGTTGTTTCGCCCAAATCTTTGAAAGTATTAGTCTTTCTTTTAATTTCTTTCAATGCTGCTGGATTGTTCGTGTTTTTGCGAATTCATTCACCGAGAAATCCTCTTTGATTTCACCTATCTGGCTTTCTCAAAGTCCCCTTTTCTCTATTTGATTTGGAAGAAAATGCTCTTTGATTTGTCAAAAAATGCAATTCAAGTTGTTCGAAATTCGATATCAGTTGTTCAAAAAGAGCTCTTATATATACTTTATTAGCACAATCAGAAAGGTAAATGGAGCTTCGACTTCTTCCATTTCCGATAAGGTTTTTCAAGTGGTAGCGAAGCGAATGTCATTTCCAGAATGAGAAGCAAGCAAAGGAAAGTGAAAGAGAATGCAAGAGCAAACGTAGCAGATTGGAACTAGGATTGCGTGGGATCTTTCCAAGTACCTGAATTCTAAGAACCATGTAAAATCGGCTAGAACCCCTTTTTCGCTATCTAGTCCGGCACCGACCCTATCCGGCTGATGAGATGCATATATGTTGATTGATAGCAAAATTCGGTTTTATAAAAAAACGACCCTTTGTTTGATCTGTAAGAAAAAGTTTAACTTTTCTCTATTGAATTCCTTTTTGAACTATGGTTCATTAGATAGAAGTTATTGAACTAAATAATATTACTGCAGTTCCAGAGTTAATTGGGTGGAGGCGACTCACATATATCTCATTGTGAGAAAATCTAGAAGCAAGGTTGTAAAAGACTCTTGGCTCATGGAGGTAAGCTAACTTGGTTATGTAATCGATCCCAACTGAAAGTGCTTTTGTGTCTTTTGGGTATATACTAGAAATATCTGCAACTATTTAAAATCGCTAGTACTTATTTTGGTTAACCTTATTTGCAAATTCTTTAGACATTTAATATTGAATTTATTTATTAATCCCTTGACATTGGCTTTCTCCCTCAAGAAAATGTATAGACTGATCAATAATTTAGGAACATTTGAATTCGATTTGTTTTGACATATGGATCCAATTCATTTTATTTAATTTGGAAAGAATTATAACAGTTTCAAGTTGGACCTTGGAAGTAATGATATTCTTATTCCTACTGAAGAAAATAAGAGTTGTTACCTTCATCAACTACAGAAAATTTACATAATTTTCACAAGAATAATGCAAGGGAGAATCTCTATTGGGATATTCAATATTCATTCTCTTCCAATTAAAACTGTTTTTAAAGAGTTGTTACCCTAACACTCCATAATGTCACTTCTCTTCCAATTAAAACTGTTTTTGGCAGCAATTTCAATTTACAAGTATATGAAACTTTTTATGTTGATTTATTAACACAGTAGAAAGTTTAAAGATAGCTAATCTAAGACTTGTATAGGCAATATTCATTTTCAGATCCAAACTATTCATACTATTATATTTAAAATTACACAGTACCTAAAGAGAGGTACCAAATGTTGTATATGGCTTCAATTTCATTTTGTTCAGATTTTTACAATATGAATTGATCCAATGATCCTAGTAGCTTGAGCCTTGATCACAAACACACACACACAACACAAACATATATATATATATATATTATATGTATATATATCTGCAATTATGTTTTATATATATCTGTAAGCTAGTCTTCTTTGTTATATATATCTGCAAGTGGACTTGTTTCATGATGTGTGTGTGTGTGTATGTGTGTGTGTGTGTGTGTTTGTGTTTTCTTGACACAACTGAAATTTATGAGGCATTTTTCATGATGTGAAAATCTATGGATTGAAAAAAGACATGAAAATTAATCCTGCTTCTGCTTAGGGTTTCTTAATTACCTTTTCTTAATTTTAGTTTGGCTCTAGCTAGCAATTTTATGACAAGTTTCTTAAAAAATTTAAGCAATTGCATAAATGTGAATTAAAAAAATATAAAAAAATTGTTGGAACATTTCTTGAATGAGCAACTGCACACTACTGGTGATAAACTGTTGATGTGTACATGTAAGCTCATATGCATTTGTTGACGTGTAATTGGAACATTACTAATTATCTACTTTTGTTTTTATTCTAGCTATATTATTTTTTATAGCTAGCTTTGTTAGATAATGCAAAACATTGCTACAGTATTTTGTGGGACTCTGAAATTTTTTATTTTTAGTGGGATTCTAGAACTTTTGTCTGTATTACAATTTACATACATATTAAAGTGGCTTTAGTGCTTTGTTTCATCATTGTTTAACTTGATAAAATGTGTTATACATTATTTAGTTCTTCGAATAAGCTATCAGTATTTAGCAAAGTGGCCAAGGAAAGTCTTGTTAGTTTTATGGAGGTCTGAAGTTGTGTTTATTTGGGTCAATTAGATGGTAACTTCTGTACTAGATTCCGGTTGATTTTATATGAACATAACAAATTCTTCGACAATGTAATTTTTTTTAAGGGAGTTCAGATCAAGGCCACACCCATGAAAAATCTCAAATGGGTTACTGCACTTCTCTCTTTTTGGTTTCATGTGTTGTTGCTTTCATATAGGGTTGATTCACTGGAATGATATTTTTTGGCTAAAATCAACCTTGAATTCAATTGGAATTAGTTAGCATGATGGGATTGTTCAATTTCATTTCTTAAAGATTGTTGATTGTTTAATTTAAATTTTTGAAGATTGTGTTTTTGTTTGCAAATATGAAATGGGGATTGTTTCATTAATTTTTTAGGGTTTTGAAAGCTTTGATTGTTTATTTGAATTTGGAAGATAGTTTGTGACAAAAATTGATTTTGTCTTTATTTCCTGTATTTGTTTCTTGATACAGAATATTAGGTTGTGGGATGGTAGAGGGATTATTATAGGACTAACATTTTGTTAATATCAGCAAATGGAGAAAGAGAGATTGGTGAGCATATAGTTAAGGCAATGGAGAAAGTTGGCGAAGGTTTTATTATAATTGTTGTAGGTGAGCTTTTCATTTATTCATCTTTTACACCTAAAGTGTTAATGGCTATGCTTTTGAATTGTTCAATAGCTATAGGTGTAGACTACCTTGCATTTAATATTATTATTATTTTGATTTTTCGTCAGTTAAGTAGCTTTTTTCAGCTTACTATGATGTTCTTTCTTTCTAATATCTTTCTTAGCAAAACAATTCTCCAGCTTTTACTTAGGTGTGATTCAACTTTGTGCAAAACTAATTAAATTTTTTTATGATTGACTGAATATAGAGGTTAAACATTAATGAAACTATTTTTTTTTTTTTTTTTTTTCGCATTTTAGAGTTGAGTGGAAAAACCATTGTAGTTATCGTAAAGCTCATGAGACAGTTCGTTTTTCAAATTTGTTGGAAATCATTGACTAAGTGATTACTTGCAAGTTGAAATTGCTGGTATTTTGTGTATTTGCACTAGGCGATTAGAAATCTCCATAATTGAAATTACAAGTTATTCTTCTTCCTTCAAATTACTCTGATACATGCATTCCTAGAAAATAATGTTGATTGGATGGCCCTCAATTGTGGTTTGTAAAGTATGTGATTGAGGAAATCTATTGCAGTATTAATAATATGTTGATTATAGACACATATGTTGACCATGTTATATCAAATTGATGATTGAACTATTATATCAAGTTGGTTTAATTATTATATCATTCCTTTTGCATGAACAGGATCGATCACCCATTTTAAAGCTTGTGAAGGATCGTGGTTGCATAAGAAGATCAGCTAATAAGTTTTATAATCACTCGACATGATTTTAGCTACTATCTACAGTTAATATATATATTTGTTGTAGTTTGAGATATTAATTTTCATTGTAATTGATCCTAAACTAAAATTTGAATTGTTAATTGTCTGCATTAATGTGAAGTGCATGTTTAAAAAATTTATTTATTATTTATTTTCATATCATGTATTTTGTAGTTTGTTATGCTCGTGTGTGGTTATTTGATTGGTTTTCTCAATTACTATTAGCGTGTTAAGGATTAAAATTTGTATGGGAAAATAATGGACGAAATTAGTTTATTTATTTATTTATTTTAAAAAAAAGTAAAATTACAACATGCAAGTGAGCCTTGTAAATATCCAAGTAAGATAATTACAACGTGACATAGGACGTTGTGAATATGTGCAATTATAATAAACATATGACACTTGTAATTGTTTGTTGGGTAATTTACAATAGGATTGAAACCTTGTTGAAAATATTATTTACAACATGCAAAACACCTTGTGAATACAGAAGTTATTTACAACACACTATAGACTGTTGTAGATATACTTTTACAAGGTGTATCCTTCTTCTTTTACAAGGTGTCTCATATCTTGTAAAAATGAGATACTTTTTACAACAAGGGATTCAACAACATACTACTTGTACGTTGTAAATTACTTTTTACAACGCAAATGGCTTCTTGTAAAAAGTCAATTTTCCTGTAGTTCAAATTAATAAAATAACATGCATATAACTTATACTTCACTACAAAAGTGATTAAACCACTTACATAATAAATATAAGGCATCCCCTACCTCACTAGAGAAAAGCATCTCTAGAATCCAAGGCAAACAAGCTCCAAATGATTTACCCTTCAAGCGTTATGTAGAGGAGGATGAGGGGATTCAGAAGTGTTCCCCAAGGTAAGGCTAGATATGAGTGGAAGACCCTCAAAAATCAAAGTCAAGGCCTAAGCATCAAGGTTTTCTAATGGTGGTTAAGGTTTGTGGTGAGGAAGATAATGATATTGATTAAGTGTGAGTGGAGGAAATAGAAATCCTTCACTCACTATGTGATCCTACACCATGGTCAACGTACATATCTATGGTTAATTACATAAAAACCCCTCTTTAATGCCAAAATTCCAAAGTGGCCCAAAAATATTTGCATAAAGGTTATTCCTCTAAATATCTTACAAAATTAATTTGTAAAATGGTGCTCAAGACAAAAATAATTACTTTAAGTAATTACACAAATAACTCCAAAAGTAAGAAAGTTTCCAAAAAAGTGTGCATCCACACCCTTAAGGAAGAAAGTGCACTAACAACATGCATTTTTAAGAAAGTAAAAATACACATGTCAATGAAATCATGTCCCATGGATGCATGCAAAAGTGGAAACAAAACCGAACACGAAAAGTGAGGCTATGCAAGGAAAAATAAAACTAGGAAAAAGATGAAAATAAAATAAAGTAAAATGTGCCAAAAAAAGAAAGGAAGGAAATAACCTGGTCATTACATGTTTAACCTCGGCATTTCAACACTTATGTATCATATGGAATTAAACTTAATAAAATTCGTTTAATTCAGATTTAAAGAAAGATATTTCATGAATTTTAGTTAATTATAACCTATCTTCGGTTGACATGAATTATCTACCTATCTATTTCTAACTAATATTGTTTTATAACTCGTCTTCCCTCGCTATAGACTTTGAAAACATTCATTCACCATTGCATGATCTCTATTCTTATTGTCCGAGAAGCCTTTAGCCGTCAATCTCGTACATTAAGAATAGGTTGAATATAGTTTAAAAATAATTAAATCTAAGACAAAGTATTAATTATTCAAAAACTACTTTATTTCATTAAAATCCAATTGCTTAGAACATCTAAGTCAATTGTTTAAAATCATGCAATCAAAATACATAAACAATTAAAATCCCAAAGTATAGAACAATTAAACCATAGTTTTCGGATTTAGACTACATCAATGCCCTAAGAGAGGAATTAGCTTCTCATGACGACGTAAGATATCATATGTGTTGTTGTGGACTTCACTATCATGGACTGTACTTCTCTTCTGAGGATCTTCACCTTCAATGCTTCAGAAAAACTAAAAGCCGCCGCTAGATCTAGAATAAAAGAAAACTAAAATGAGAGAGAACGAGAGAGATTATCTGTGGTCTTGTGCATCCTTTTATAGTAGCAACTGAATTCTAATATGGATTGGATGGGCTTTAGGTCTTCTGGGTTCATTTGGGCTCGTCTGGGATGAGTTAGGACTTAATTAGAATTAATCCCAGAACTTTGAAATTTGACTCAATAGGAAAAGCTCGAGCAGAAAAGCTTCTGCTCGAGCTTTCTTGCTTGTACTCAAACCTTTTGACTTGTGCTCGAGCAGGAATTCTATACCTAGTCAATTTTCTTTAAATAATTTCTGAAGCATCTTTTTTATCAACACTTAGAATATTTTGGGATATTTTCTTCATGGTACTCGATCACCTTGGCTTAGTGCTTGAGCCTTGCGACTTCTGCTTGAGCTTTATGAATTATGCTTGAGCCTTTTGGTCTCTGCTCAAGGTCTAGCAACATCGACCTTCTAAAGCATTTTTTCATATTCTGAGGGAGGTTGTGCTCGAGCCCTTTTGCAAAGGATCGAGTACATTGAGTCTTTACTCGAGCAGAAAGATCTCTGCTCGATCCTTTTGGCCTTTGTTGTTTTTCTTGCTTTAGTTGACTCTGTGCTCTACCTAAGGAACTTGTGCTCAAGCTTTGGCATTTAAAATTTTCCAAAATCACCATTTTGACTCCAAGCCTGCTTCAGATGATCGGCAACAACTCTGTAAGCTTTAATATCAGTTTTTTCATCTTAAAATCCCGGTCTTATCGATTTCTTTGGGAAAAGTACCTACAAAAGCAAAGTAAACCAAAATTAGTCTAAAACTGGATAAAAGTACTACTTAAGATCTTAACATATGCACGTTTAAGGGCTCGAATATGCAATATTTAGCGCTCATCATTACTCTGGATGAAGACAACTCTTTCAGACCTTGGAATTCCATTCTCAAGTCCTCCAAAGCTCTAATGTGATAATCAAAGTGCTATAGCCATTAGCAAGAATCCTACTTTGCACTGGAGGAGCAAGTGCATTGATTTCAAATACCATTTTCTCAGACACATGGTACAAAAAGGTTGATTAACATTACATATCTTCAAATAGAAGATCAACTTGCAGATATCTTAACAAAGCCATTACTACCATAGAGGTTTTCAACTCTCAGAGATATTCTCAGGGTTGTTCCTAATCTCTTCTAGTTTTTAACATTGTTAGTCCTTTCACCTTTTGACTTTCAATGTCAAAAAGGGGGAGAAAATGACCTTAATCAAGGATATATATATATATATATATATATATATATATATATATATATATATATCTCTTTTGGTATACTTTCATTACTGTTGTATTGGTGCATATATTGTTGGTTATTTAAGTGCCTTGTTGGTCATACCTTTGAATTAAGGTTTGCCCTTTTAAATGTCAAAAATTCTGTTATAGGTTCTCTACATTGAGTTCTAAGTGATTCTAGCTTAAAAGTGCGTATAATTGATCCACAGGGGTAGCTTGGTCTTTTTACAGTGTTAATAAGACTATTCAAATAATTTAAAGAAGGTACATTGTCTTGAAGACTCTCTTTACAGGCCTTTTAGAGTGAAACCCTAGTACATATATTGATATTATGCTATAGAGCATTTCAAGGGCAATTAGGTTTTTTCACACATGTATTATATCATAATACATTTGTGTATAATGGTGCATTGCGTTAAATTGCTTATATTCTCAGGTTGATCAAGTGATCATAGTCTCAGCTGCAGAAGGCAATGTATATTGTCAAGTGTCATTACAAGGGCATTTTGGTCAATACAAATTCTAAAAATTATTGTGACACGTGTCTTGTGGTCCTGGTGTGTGAAAATGTAGGCTGTCATTCTTTGCGTAGTGATTAAGCTTGTTATACATTCATAGACATTGTTAACGAACTTGCATGTTGAAGATACTTTCTGTAAAGGTGGCAGGGGTATTGATCGCCTCTCTCGGTGTTGGGCAAACTTTTAATATTTATAAACTTAACAATTTGAGAAATGTTGGGCAATGTAATCAATACATATATATATATATATATATATATATATATATATATATCAAGTACTTATTGAGAGCATTATAAGCAGAGTGTTGGATGAAAACAAGGGTTAGGGTTAGCATTATAGTTGGAGTTGTTTGCTCTAGGGGTTTTGCTTTTGATTGGGAGCTTACAAGTAAAGGAAGGTTTGACTGAAATTAGTGAGCATGAAAACACATTGCATTGCCAATTTTATTTGGTATTAGCTTGGTAAGGATTTTAGAGAAAGAAACAATCAAAGGGGAAAAAAAATCATTGCAATATAATATGCTAATAATAGAATAGAATAAGAAAGATAAACACATTACAAATATAAGAACAAAAATATTGATTAATAATATTTTCATCGAATTAAATTGCAACTATTCTCCACCGGCCTTTATAATTTGAAAGCGATGTATGAAATTACACACATCGAGTTCATAAAATTATAACAATAAATTTAAATAAGAAGTGAAAAAAGGTTACATACATCATATATAAGTGCAAAAAAGAGTTTTAATAAGTGGGAAAAAATGGAAAAAAAAATAAAAAGAAGAAAAAGAAGGGAAAAAAGAAAGAAAGAAAATGAGAGAACTTTGAGAGAAAGAGAGAAAAAAAAAAAGGATTTGATTGAAGAAAGGAAATGTGATTTTTTATTTTTTTATTTATGAAAGAAGGAAACTAAAAGAATTTGAAGAGTAACAAGGGAAAAGAAAAAAGTAAGAGATAATTTTAATAATTACAATATTTAGGGGGTTATACTATAATTTTTTTTCACATATATAGAAAAAAAGAAAACAACAAAAAAGAATATATTGATGGAGATGTATTTTTTAATATTATCGTTGCTGATACACTTTGCACAATGATAAAATTTCTTCAAACACTTAACTAAAAATGTATAGTGAAAGTAGGGTCGAATCACACAATTAAGTAAGATTTTGTTTGCAATAAAATCTAATTTTAAAAA